ATATGTGTGTGTATGTTTACATACATGGGTACTCATACTATATTTATCGCTATTAGTGTCCCGTTGCTGAAGTATAATAATATTTTTATTGTGGTTCTGTCTTGCAGTTGCGTTCGCCGACTGTGGCCCAACTGTATCTGGCAGATGAAGACCCTAATGCTTGGAGGTACACTGGCTATGCAGGTATGTTAGGAGAAGCATTTCCTGATGACTCTAAAATTTGCGCCCAAATTTGTGCTGTATAAGGCCAACTCGCATACACACCGGTAGCGTTAAATTTTCACATTTATACTCGTAACTGCAAGCTACGACGTAGACTTTATGGTACCATATGCGCGCAGGAAACATGCACGACTTGCGACCATATCTGATACTCGCTCAATGACCAGACATTGCACGCTGTAGATTGTACCGGCTCATAGTTGACTATCTATCATTAGGCTCAGTACACTTATGTATTGCATTCTCCTGTATATTTTGCTATTAGGAGCCGTGGCTGTGGTGAAGGATGGCTACCGCAAAGATTACTTTATTCGAGTGCTGTCTCTGGACTCGCCAAGCAAGGTGTTGTGGGAGCAGGCCATTTATAAAGAACTGGATTACGGCTCGGATAGGACCTACTTTCACACCTTCGAAACGGACGTATGTGGTTTTGTTGGGGAATCGAAGGATAGCAGTCGAACCTTTCCTTTCACCCTATAACTCTATTTGCATGTGCTTTAATCGCTGACATATAGGTTATATCAATCACAAAGTGGATTGTGATTTCAAAAAACTGAATGGCTTGAGTTTCAGAGCGTGGTAGACTCACAATTTAATTCAATGCGAATAAATCGCGTATGTGTGTTTACATGCCTAATGGAGCACTCTTCCCAGTGTGAGTACGTCCGTCCTTATGATCATTTATGTGTCAATGTGAAATACCACGTCTGTTCTCTCTCGCTGTTTTTATTCATTGCCAATCTCGTCGTGAGAGATGCCAGTCTATTTTTTTGGTGCTTCTTGGCATGTCAGGTGTAGACCCATTTCTATATTAACTCAGGCATAGCATACATTTAGACTAATCTATGCATTCCAATTGTCTCGAGGATACACATACAGATATGACTCAACTGATATACAAACCGACAAGCTGACAACTAATACTGCCTCGCGCGTGTGTGTTTTCTTGTCAGAGCAAGCCATTTCAGCGACAAATATAATCATTGAATCTGCCGCTCGTTGAGCAACTCGTATCTGTGCTCGTGCATACAAATGTGTACCCGTACATATGCGTCCAACCATATCCTCGTACATATGCACATATACACGTATACATACACATACACAGCTATGTATTCTGTTAGATGTTTCTATCAATTGATAGTAAAATTTATATTTTCAAATCTCGCCAACCCCACAGAACTGCACGGCGGGGCTTAATTTCGCCTCAGAGCCAGACGCGCAGGAATTCCGTGAAGCTGTGAAAGAAGAGATCAGCAAGAAAAACAGGGCAAAGAAAAAGATCGCACCCCCCCCGGCTGCGCCTACTGTCACAGCACCACCTCAACAGAAGACTGCACCTGCTGCTCAGGTAGGTGTAGGTTTTGAAGTTCGTGGGGATGTATATGTGCTTGTTTGTGATTCGAATGGATATATGCCAGACTTACGCACGCCTGTGTAATCGGGAGAAGCTTGCACAGACTACTCGCAAATGACACCACCTTTCAGCCTATTCAGGCTTTCGTAGTGAAGTATCGTAGTTATCTGCCCAGAGTACTCGTCATATAGTAGTAACCATGCTCACAAGCGCAGACACACTCAAGCAGAAGCCCTCATTGCTGCAAATGCTTACAGTTGCGCACATCACTGGCATCGTCGGCGTTATAGGCACACATGCACCATCCTACACAAGGACTCGATACACAGTAGCACCCCGGCTCACACCCTGCATATCTCTCCTTCTCACTCACAGCAAACCAGCAATGTACCCGTTCGGGGTGCCAGAGTGTCATCCAGCCCAGCGGGTAGGCCCACGAGTCCGAAACCTGGTATGTTTGGGTCTATTGGCTCGATGGCTAAACTTATTGTGACATTATACTATACGACAGTACTACGTGATGGTGAATCTACTTCCTATGAGAAAGCTAGATGTCCGTATTTGCGTGTGCCTATCGGATCGTATGGGTTGGGATTAGTTTTAATGATAGCGATAGGGATTTTCCGTGGATCTGTTTTGCAGGGTAGGCGTTAGACAGTCCACAGAAATAAGCGAACGCGGTAGGTTAATCGGATTTCTCAGTTGTGTGATGAGTACTTCAGTTGTAGCCAGGTGGTGGCAGAGACCACCGCTGGTAGTGAGCTTGCTGCTTGCCATTCTTCATTGATGCCTTGTCCTGGTTTCGCATGTACGTGGTGTGTTGTGGTGTTGGTGCGCCTATCTTGTTGTGGGCTGCTGGGACATATGATTGTCTGCGTGGTCCGGACGGTATGTAGCCAGCCTAGCACGCTGTGTTCTAGGCTGTACTACGCCTGCTACAAAATAAGCGTAACATCGTCGGTGTCGCATCTTTAGACGATCTTGCGTGCTACACCGACTTGCTAGTGTGGCTGTTAACTGCGTCTGTGCAAACGCACGCTACTCGTATATGTACCCACCTATGACCAGCGTCGAATGGTGCAACTTCTGTTGTGTTCAACCCGTGTACCTTGCCTTTGACGATAAGACTCCTTGCACATGCGATACACGCACAGCTGAATACGTCGCTAGCGCTATATGAAACTACTATAACGTTAGAACCAATAGTGATAGTGGACGTTCCAGTCTCGTCTCAATCAAATTTGTGCCAATCCGACACCTCTATCGATACCTCTCTACCTACAGAGACTAGCCGTTTCAGCTTATTCGGGTCGCGGAAAAAGAACAAGGGTCCCAAGAAATTGACGGCCGATATGATTTCTGGCCCAGCCGAGTTTTCGTATGTTTGCGATCTATGTAGGCCGTAGACATACATAGAGACCAATGCCCTGACCTGTTTACATGCACGTGGGCAGTTCATTGCGGCATATATGTGCGATTTGCTTTTCTTGACGCAGGCAGGCGGTCGTAGATTCTTCCCTTATGTTTGTACGTATATAGTCATAGCTTTATATACATAAGTCGCCAATTTTAAAGTGTGGCGTGTGAGCGTCTAGACGTTGGTCTCAAATCTCAAATATACCCAGACTACCACTCATTTACCTCAGCTTCACCACCTTCACACATACACACCCAAAACCGTGCTGTATATACTCATCCATATGTGAACGTCCTCACAGACACGTCTCGCATATCGGCTGGGACGCCGACAAGGGATTCGACACCGACAACATCCCCGAGGAATGGCAGACGGTCTTTGACAAGGTAGGCATCACCAATGCACAGCTCAAAGCGGACCCTGAGCTGGGCAAGTTCGTGATGAGTGAGATGTCAAATATGGCCGAGAAGGGGGTCCCCCCCCCTACGGCCCATGCGCCGCCTGCGCCTGTGCCTAAGCAGAAGTCACCTCCACCCGCCGTCAGCCAGCCCCCTGCACCCGTGGCCGCGGCTGTGACACCGGTTATAGCTCCTGTCAGCAAACCACGTATGTCTGCACGGTGCATGTGGGTATTGGGGTGGCTGGTAGTTGGTTCCGGTCAGTGTATTGGTGATTAACTGAATGTTTGGTGTCTGCCGGGTTTTGTAGCGGGACCCAAGGGGCTGAGAATGCCTGAACAAGGACTAGATTAATTCGGTCGAGGTTTATATCTGCTGTAGTGTCTATCAGCCACCCACACTCCGTGTTCTTGGATTGTAGTTAAATTGAATCATTACTTGGGTTCTTACTCTCGACCTTCTGTAGAATTATCATTTGCCGACATTTCATTGGTGTGTGACCTTTAACTTTCCTCTGTCGAGCACTGGCGGTATAGCTGGAACCATATCTCGGCCCCAGACAATACCAATTGCTTTCTCACTGTCTGCATTTCGCTGTTGAACTTGCGCTTACACAGCGCCGTCCAGTGGCAGGCCTACGTCACCTCTCAGCCGACCTCCGTCAGGACGTGCACCTGCACCCCCAGCGAGTATGTTTGATTGTGTGAGTGTGTTTGATTGTGTGAATGTGTTTGATTGTGTGAATGTGTTTGGTTGTGTGAGTGTGTACTTTCTGACTGCATGTGAATCCTGTTTCCCCTCTATAGTGTAGATAGAGGGCGAAAAACTCTTAGGGCTCGCAGTAAACTTCGCTGCGCGTTCCAAATACAACTTGTCATAGCGTATGCACACCAGTACTTCTCTGCGCGTGATTCCAAATACTACTTATTATAGCGTATGCACACCAGTATGATACTACCCCACACGCGTCTTCGCCTCTTGCATCTCTGTTGTACAGTCCTTTGCCTACCGGAAACGGAACTCAACGTGAAATGTCACCACCGATGGGTCTGAAATCCATACGCACTGTCGACACATGTGGTGCTAATTGTCGTATGTTGTCTCGACATACCCGGTGCTAGACCCAATCTGATACCAATCTACTGCCCAGCCCACTTCTTCACCTCCTCAGCTACTACACCACAGACCGCACCAGTATTAGACGATATTATCGATGCGTTATATCGGCACAAAGCCGTGCGCATGTGTGTAGTACCCAACACCTTGCCTCACCCCCTCCTCCTCCCCCCTCCACCTCTTCACCTCCCCCGTTGATTTCCATTGATTTCCATCGATTCCCATTGATTTCCATTGATTTCCATTTATTTCCATTGATTCCCATTGAGTTCTATTGATTTCCATAGATTTCCATTGATTTCCATTGAGTTCTATTGATTTCCATAGATTTCCATTGATTTCCATTGATTTCCATTGGTTTCCATTGATTCCCATACCACAGGTCGCGCAAATACCGGACGGTCAGCTCCTCCGCCCCTGCCCCCCACACGCTCACCCAGCGCAAAGAAGAAGCCTGGACCCCCTCCAGCTGCCTACAGCGCTAGTGTTTCCAGTCTGTCAAAGAGAGACTCGACACCACTCGCCCCACCCCCCGCACCTGCAAGCGTTGTCGGTATGGTGTCATCTGTCGCTGGAGTGCATGCAGTGTGTGTGTGTGTGTGTGTGTGTGTGTGTGTGTGTGTGTGTGTGTGTGTGTGTGTGTGTGTGTGT